ACACACACACACACACACACACACACACACACACACACACAGTCGCCTCACAGGTGTAACATATGAGAGTAAACCCTGGCCAAACAAGCAATGCGAGCAAAGGTATTATCGTGATGCTCTTTACTAATATTGTGCTGCAGGGTAATGAGTTTCTTAACAACTTGCTACTGCTGACTGCTTCCTCCTCCTTCTTATACAGTACATCCAGTAACACACAAACTTTCTACAGCACAGTGAACAGCCTGCTGCCTTGACATAGCTTTTGCTGATAAACTACCAGTTAGAAGATAGTGAGTGATACCATTAAAGGGGAAAGAGATTGGGAGAGAGTGAGAGAAAAGGCAACAGCCACAGAGTGAATGAGACTTGCACCGAATCCACACACAAGACTTTGCATTAGCAACACAAACATTAGCAGAGAGCCTTTAAAATTTTCAGCTGAGGTTTAGCGAACGCAATGTAAATAAGATGCAAGCCATTAGCGGGCCCATTGTGGACTTTTGTGAGTTGAGGAGTGAAAAATGTGGCTGTAATGACGTCTGCGTGGACACTCCATCAGCCTACAGAGAAAGGAATACTTTTAAAATGGCAGGGCTCCTGAGTTTGTTTTGGCTCCTTGTGTGAAGTATGAGTCATGAAGACTGCTGGTTGCGGGAAAAGCTGTATCACTGGGGTTTGGTAAATGGTTATTTGTTCATTTTTCTTTCTTGTTCTTTTCCTGACACATGACATATTTATCCATCTCTTAGCTAGACAAGCCATATTGGAGAATTTATTTGCAATTACTGAAGTTACAGCTACAGTAATGAGATGTGCTGCTGGGTGAAAAATGTGCTAGGACACTTTTTATAAGGTCAAATGTCTGGTCTCTTTTGACCAGGTTCAGGTTTATATGGGGCAATTATCTGTTAGGTAAGATTTGGGTGTTTTAGATACATGAGGGCTAGAATGACATTATTATTTGTGGATCTTGTCAATCCTATTGTTTGTCTGTTTTCACTACATCCTATTATGCTTTGGGTAATACAGTTTCAAAATGCTCCCCCCCCCCATAATGGCAGTGATTTAGCTGTACATAACACCCGAGCCCAATAAATAATTTTAATTCCATTTTGGCAAAGCTACCCTATGAACAGTCATGCTGAATTAGTTTTCATCAGTTTCCTTTTCCACAGTATTCTGACCACCTGCCAAATACTGTTTTGGTCCCCCTTTTACTGCCTAGACATCCCTGACCCATCAAGACATGGACTCCACTAAACCCCTGAAGCTGTGCTGAGGTGCCTGGCACCATGTTAGCAACGGATCCCTTAAGTCAGCGGTCCCCAACTCCCGGGCCACGGACCAGTACCGGTGGCATCCTACCACAAAGCATTTTTTTGCTTTGTGGTAGGATGCATTATCCTGCTAAAAGGGGCCGCAGCCATCAGGGAATACTATTTCATGGTCTGTTACAATGCTTAGGCAGGTGGTACGTATCAAAATAACATCCAGATAGATTTCCAGACCAAAGGCTTCCCTGTAGAATATTGCCCAAAGTATCACCTAGCCACCACTGGCTCGCCGTAGTGCATCCTGCTGTCAGGTGTTCCCAGGTCATCAAAGAAAACATGATTCATCGGACGAGGCCACCTTCTCCCAGTGCTCCGTAGTCCAGTTCTGACACTCACGTGACCATTATTGGTACTTTCGGTAGTGGACAGGGGTCAGGATGGGGCACTCTGACTGGTCTGTTCCTATGCAGCCCCAGTGCTGATTAGTGTAATTAAGATTCATCTTTAAAGCTCCACTTTACCACTTTTTGCGGCGATCGCCATTGCCTACTGGTGGTGGTCAGAGGGCCCGGTGGCGCCAGTGTCCGGCAGCCTCGCCTCTGTCAGTGCGCCCCAGGGTGGCTGTGGCTACACTGTAGCTTGCCATCACCAGTGTGTGAATGTGTGTGTGAATGGGTGGATGACTGAATGTAGTGTAAAGCACTTTGGGGTCCATAGGGACTAAGTAAAGCGCTATACAAATACAGGCCATTTATCCTTAGTTAATTGAACATAAACTGGAACTGCAGATCAGTTTTTGCATTGATAGAAAGTTCTTTCAGATAATGTCTACAATCTTTGCACTTTTTTATTTTTTTTTTTTTTTTTTTTTTTTTTTTTTTTTTTTTTTTTTTTTTTTTTTTTTTTTTTTTTTTTTTTTTTTTTTTTAATTGTGGTCCTTTTTTTTTTAGTTCTTTTTTTTTTTCTTTTTTTTTTTGTCCCGTTTGGATCTTTAGCCATCAGAATTGTTGTCTTAAGGCCAAGAAAGATGCCAAGCGGATTTATTTTACCAAGTGGATCATCATGGCCTTGCCATATTGGTCCATTTGATTGACCTTTATTATAATTATGATTTATTTTATTTTCGGTTGCTATAAACGGGACAGACATGACTGGGGGATAGGACAGGGAGAAAGAATGAAAGAAAGAGAGGGAGAGAAAGAAAACCAAAGGGGAGAAGAGACTGTGAGAAGGGGGGAAGAAAGAAAAAACAAACAAACACCTGGATCACCTGTATGGAGAAAAAAAACAGAAGAGAAAGCAAACAAAAAAGAGCAACATAATAAATACAGCACCATCACAATAAACTAGCTAGCAGTAGATAACAGTAGATACTAAATATTAAACGATATTGTGCAGCACGCAAGATAGACAGCGCACAATGTGCTTTGAGGCAGCAGCCAAGAAAGCTGTAGTCCGCGTCTGTGAACACCCGTGTGTACACCTGTGTGCATACCTGTGTGGATCAGCATGCTTGTATTCCAAAGGTTTCTCCATGTAACGATCTGCTAGGGAGTGTGGGGAGCCATAGCCCCGTCCACCAGGGCATGAAGCAGGTATGGAGGAGATCCAGGCCCCAGACATCCAGAGGCCCCAGAGTACGAGGACCCGAGGAGGACCACCAAAGGGGGGGAACCGTGCCACCCTCCTGGGAAGAGCTGAGTAGAGCCCCAAACGAGAGGTCACCCAGCAGCTACGGAGCAGAGGCCAGAGGGGGTTGCAGTGGCGTGCCCGCGGGCTCTGCCGGCAGCCAGCTGTGCCAGAGAGGACCGAGCTTCAGGCCCAGAGGCCTGAGGGCACCCACCCCCCGGAAGGAGCCCAGCCGGGCCACAGGCGCCAGGCCCCGCCAATCGGCCACCAGGAGTGAGCCGGTACATACATGAGCGCCCAGCCCCAGATCGACAAGGACCACCAACACACCAACGTCTGAGGGCATCAGCCACCGGCAGGGAGTGTGGTGAGGGGAGATAGGCCTCCGTACTTTAGAGGGCCTGAGATGTACCCAGAGAGGTTGAGTCTAAGACCCAACCTGACATATAGACACAGACGAACAGGCGCACGCGGACACAGACGTGCATTCCCACCCCCATATACACAACCAAATACTCGGCACTCACCCAACGTGTAGACAGACACAAATAGACACTGCACAGACAGTCACACTCCCCAAACATACTCTATATCCCAGGTCCAGGTACCCCCGCCCTCAGAGGGGCAAGCCGCACCTAGACCCAGGAGATGTAACCTTTCTCTCTGGGGTGGAGGCAAGTGGACCGCCTCCTTATCTGTAGTAGCAGGGAGGCCCCGCATCCCAGACCCCAGTCTGACGGCCAGCACCTCCTCCCAGCCCCCCAGCCCTGACGGCTAACAGAACCGGGGTGAGTGAAGACCCCAAACCTCCCTAGGCCCACTCATATGTAGTGTTGCTGTGTGCTGTTCTAAAGTGCATTTAAGTTACCATTCTTACCTCAGAGTTGTTTCTAAGGTCTCCTGGGAGAGTGCTGGTTTCTTCTGTTGATTTTTGCGTTGAATACTACTTTCTCAGTGGTCCAGTTCAGGGCAGTGAAATAACTAATGCGTTCTGTCATTACCGCAGGGAAGCAAAGTGCTGTGCAGCTCCAAATGAGTTCTGACTAAACATCGGGGGAAGCCAAACAGGTGGCTCATTGACTGACTCAAAGGCCATTGAGGAAAACAGCCTGCACACTTCAGTAAAGGACTTTTTCTGGGGTTTTTTTTCCTTTTTTCGTTTCCAATGGCTCTGGTAGAGAAAAGAGTGGCAGGGAGGCAGAGAGAAAATGTGTAAAGCAGAGTGAGCCGCTGTGGTGAGCCAGCAGTAACCAAACCCCAACTGGAGGAAACCACAGGCAAATGCGCTGCAGTCACTGAGGGATATAGCCACAACAGTTTGCACATTCACACAGGCACAACTACACAGTTTGACATAATAGAAAGTTAAACTGTGGCTCCGTGGTCGTACCGTAGCTACAGCTTGCATTAAAGCTGCATTCGGTCACAGAAAGCCTGACATCGTCCAGGTTATTTGAGAGGTAATGCCAAGAGAGCAGAGCAAAAGGGTGCAGTGAAAGGACTGCAGCCTATTGCACTAATGGATGCAACCCATATGTTTTGAGCCTGCTTAAAAGCCCGGGAAAGTGATTGAAAAGCTGTTTGACATCTGCTATGCTGTTTGCCGCCGCTGCTTTGCCACTCTCCGAGGCCCGGCACCACAATGATTACTGTCAATATGAGTGA